GAAAGAGGATAGACTAATCGGTCTAAAATCTTTAGGCGTAATATGGGAGCTTTTGCCAGCTTTAGGAATAAAAACGACCTTTGTCAATTTCCATTTCTCTGGTATATGCCCTAAGGAAAGACAACCTTTAAAGATTGGTGTGAGCCAGTTGCAAGAGATGTCCCTTGCTTCATGAAGTTGGGCTGGTATAATTCCATCCAGGTCCGGTGATTTGTATGGTAGAAAGCTATCTATAGCCCATTTAATTTTCCTTCTGGTGACAATATTATTCACTACAGATGAGTCACATGTAAACCCCTGGTTTATTCCAAGGTTATTTGGTATGTCACTATCTGGGAAATGTATATTCAGTAACAATGCCGCCGATTCTTCGCTGCTATGTGTCCACCCATTGACCTCGTCTTTTAAGTAGACTAGATTAGAGGGTTTTTTCGAGAGAATGCGCCTAAACCTTGCTATTCCTTGACAACCCTCCACGCTTTCACAGAAGGCTTTCCAGGAGCGTGTTTTGGCTCTTTTTATTTCATTTTTATATATTTTTAGACTGACTTTGTAGATGTCCCAGTCAGTGTTAAGATTACTTCTCTTGGCCTTGTTAAACAAGTTTCTGCTTGATTTCCTAAGATCACTTATTTCCTCGGACCACCACAATGGCTTTTTCTTTCCCCTCTGTGATTTTAGCGGGCAAGAACGGTCCAAGGCTATGTTGCAAGCTTTTGTGAAGGTTTCCACAACGTTATCTAGCGATTGAGGAGTCTCTACTTCTTCAATAGGATATAGAGGAAGTAGATTTAGTAAATTGGTTCGATATCTACTCCAGTTGGTATTACGGTAATTCCGATAAGGTTTCTCAACTGGACATTGTAGATTTATATAGAATTGAATATAACGATGGTCAGAGAATGAGTGTTCACCAAGAACTCTCCAATCCTTAATCTCAAGATCTGTGTTTTCAATAGTTAATGTAATATCTAAAACTTCTTTTCTGCCTGCAATAATAAAAGTAGGTTCTACTCCTGTATTGCATATATGAAGATTATAATCTAGAATAAAATCGAATAACGACTCACCTCTTTCATTTATGTCCGAGCTTCCCCAGATTGTGTGATGAGCATTTGCATCGGCTCCAATCACAACACCAGTCATTCTTTCTGCTGCTGTTATCACGAGCTGCTTAAGTATTTCCGGTGGTGGATTTCCTATATGGTCGTGGGCCATGTATGATGACACCACCCATACGGTTTTGCCGTCGATTTCCAAACTCACTGCAGTCTGGTCGTCATCACTAAAATTATTCAAAAGGAAACAATTAATGTACTTTTTAACTAACACACTAGAGAGCTGATAAATGACTATAGAGATTGCCTGTAGCACATGATTTGCTATACTTAACTCACAGAATGTTTTCAAGAAATCTGCGCCAAATGCCCTGGAACTGAAAACATCAATCAACAACTTCCGGAGTTCTTTGGTGGCAATATCACTGAAACATTAACATACAAACAATGCGTGTTAAAAAACAGGAGGGGTTTTTAAAGGATAAGAAAAACAACTTAGAAGAAAGTGAATGCATAGTCTTTTGTGATTTTTCCGAAAACTATGTTTTTGTTGTTCAAAACACTGTTCAAGGTATTTACCGGAATAATAATCAGGCAACAATTCATCCGTTTACAATGCACCACCATCTTGAAAATAAAAAAACACCAAAAATAAAAAATTTTGTCTGGACATCTGACTGTATATATGTATGTATGTATTATTAGCTTTATTTTTGCTTCCTTTTGAATTTGTTGTGTTACATAGAATTTAATAACAATTATATTATATATGTTATACAAAGCTTACAGTCATGGCACTTTAGCCGCCAAAAGTTAAGATAAATATAATAACTAGTTTTTATAAATATTAAATAAATATTATTACTTATAAACTCAATACAATATAAATATTTAATTAAATTACCATACTAAAAATAATAGATTTCATATAAATTAATTTAAAAATCTTCGTTAATAATATTTTGACCATATTTTAATGCATTTTTAATAAAAGCCGCTAACAATCTCCAGTTGGGGCCATTCAGTATCAATATGGTTTCATTAACATCGAGCGCAGGTTTACAGAAGTACAACGATCTGTGCTCTTTAAAACTTGGGCATTCACCTACTAAGTGTATCACATCGTCTTTCAATTTTAGGTTGTACATCGGACACAGTGTGTCTTGACTTTCGTACGGTACGTAGCATAAGCGTAGGAGCTCACCTCGGGTTTTGAAAATTGTCCGTTTACGTCGTATTGCTCGTGAAAGTAATTATTGACACTTAGATCATAATTTGGCTTACTACATACATCTCTCGCTTTACTGTTTCTTGCCGCTTTTAAAAAATTTCTACGTTCTTGAATACTTAGTTTCGATATTATATTTTTCTGCCATAGTTTCCAGTTATCATCCGAACTCAAAATATTAGTCACACTTAACTCGGATGCCAGATCCGACCATTTTTCACTTATTAGGTACTGTGCTAATGTGTTGTGAATCCGATTACCTGGCACATTCCTAACACGATTGATGTAATCAAAATTCAATTTTAATGTTAGGTATATAGCGTCGGTAGACCAGTCTCTATATGCACCATATAATTTGGGGTATTTTTGACAGACGAAATGTTCTCCTTATATAAAATGTCTGCAATTTTTCTACTACATCATATTTATCCACATCCCAGATTTGCGCTGCAGAATTTAGAACTGATTTAACTGTGGCTTCAAAAACTTTGTATTTTACGGGCAGTGACACTTTCGGATTTCACAAGGCATTTTTTCGGGTACAATTAATAGCCAATTTAGCTTCCTTTAACTTCTCGTTCAAGTGGTTATCGAATTTCGTGTCATATTTATACTTAGATATTTATAATTATTAACCACTTCTAATTGATCATCGTTAAGGCACCATTTTTCATCATTTTTCAATCTTCTAACATGTTTTTTAAATATCATCAGTTTTGATTTGTCTGTGTTTATAGACAGCCCTCATAAGTTGCAATAACTATTTAATTCATCTATCATATTTTGTAACATAAATGGCGAGTCTGCAAGCAGCACACTATCATCAGCATATAATAGTACTTTCAAGTACATATCGGCAATCATAACACCAGGAAGAAATTTACTTAAATCATCAACGAACAGTGCAAACAATATAGGGTTTAAGACACAACCTTGTCTCACTCCGGTATACGTTGCAGTATTTTCAAAATTTTAATTATTTTAAATTATTTTCAAAAAGCTTAAAGCTTTTTTTTTTTTCTATGTAGAAAACATATGACTTCAATAAATCTTTTTGCAATAAATTCTTGGGCTACACTAGTGAGGACGAAAATATTATCTACTGTGGAGTAACCAGATTGAAATTCGCTTAATGTGTTGTTTTCATCTCCCCAATTTTTAATTCTATTAAACAGAAGGGTTGTTAATACTTTAGCTGATGTATTAAGTAATGCTATTTCTCTATAATTTGGCACATTATTTGGGTCACCTTTTTTAAATAGGGGAAATGTTATGGCTTTCTTGTAACTATCAGGTGGGACTTCATTTTCAAATATATATTAATTGTGGCTCTATAAACTGTGGCGTGGCATATTTTGAAAACTTACCTGCGGCCTTGTTATTTTTTAAATTCTGGAGCACTGCATTGCTGACTGTTAACATCATAATACAACTGCCGTAAATTTTTTCCAAAAATACGCCACTAATTTATATTTTTCCGATGAATCGGGTTCACAATATAAAAATAAGAAAAATTTTATTAATTTAACTCATCACAAAGCGGACTTTAGTTTGGCTGGTACCTTAAAGAGGAATGCTACAAGAGCTAGTCTTCAACGAATACATAATTCAGTCATAACACCGAAAGAATTATTTAACTGGACTAACGAATAGTTACCAAATATTGTGTACCATTTCTCAACATTAAGAGACTACGACGCAGAAGAAGATAACACTAAATACCGCTTCGAAACAGATACATCAATTAAGGGGACATTAAAATATCACTGCTCTATACCCAATTCGAAAAAATTATTAATGCTAAAAATATTTTCTTCTTCAGACATTACAGATTATGTATCAATAATGAAATGAGAATTAATAAAATCAATGTAAAAACCATAAAAAAAAATATTTTGTTTTCAGCTCCTTGCAGTTTTTTTCCTACAACATTTCTTACCTGTGCAAAGTATTTTTCCAACTGTAGCAAAAGAACACTTCACCGCAAAAGGTAGGTGTGATTATCTGCTGCAGTTTTCTAGGTAGTTCAACTAGTGTGGAACTTATTAATTTTTTAATTCTTCAATATAAGAAAACAGTTCAAAAAATGGTTTAATTATGTTAAAATTCGTAATATGAAAAAAGAGATTATGCGGAACTAATTTAAAAGGTTAATATTTTATGTAGAATTTAATGATGAACTCAATTTGGAAATAAAAACATTTTTGTGTCATTTTACTTGGAATATTGATTTAATGATATTATGGAGCGTATGAGTAACTTTTTTAAATTACTTCTAAAAGCAATATCATACTGGAAGTATTCACTTTTTAAGTAGAATTTGTTGTGTGAATATTCCTTTTTTTGTACTGAACAATCGTGTGTATGTGTTTGGTGTGATGTGAAGGATAAATTAATTTTTAAAAGTACTTCTAAGGACACTATCGTCCAGAAATATTTGAGAAATTTTAGAATTTTATTACTAGTTGAAATAAAAAATACTTTATAAGAATATAATATTTGTTGTACATTCTTTAAAATTCATTCAATGGAAATATAGTACTTATGTTTTTGATGTGTTTTGCGTGAGAAGAAAAAAATATTAAAAAAAATCAAGAGATAATGCCATTTTGAAAATTTTTATTTCGCAGTAAAATTTAAAACTGAATCTAAATAAAATATAAAAAATGAAAATTCTGGGGAGGCGTTTTAGTACTCAAATATAATCAATTTTAATTGTCCAAGCAATTTCCTCAAAGTTCAATCAATTATCTTTAAAACGCAGCAAATTACAAGTTCCTACCATCTAAAACATAGAACTTGAGATATAGCCATTCATTTCATTTAGTTCGTTATGGAACTTGAGATATATATATTTTTTCATGGCTTGTGACACGTTTACTTTGAAGTTTAGAGAAGCAAGAATTGAACAATATTTAAAAGGCAGTGCTTAAATGAAATAGCCATAATATTTAAAATTAATAAGTTCATTAATTCGCGACTTATAAAAAAATATAACCTTTGGGTGAAGCCCTCGTAATATTACTCATAGAATTGATCGAAACATAAATATATGAATAATAACTAAAATATATCATAAATAATTAAAAAAAAAAACCATTAATGTCGTCGAAAAATATCGTAGATGAGCTTAAACTAGGTATGGACTCTAGTACTGTACGCAGGCTTACTATCGAAGCCGGTTTTTAAAAGTTACAGACCAGTCAAAAAACCGTTTTTCTCAGGATTTGGACTTGGTCCTTTTCATGAAATTAATCAAATTATGGACAAAGTGTACAAAGATATTTTAGAAAGCCATATGGGCCCCCATGGCGTATGGGTAATGCCGTTTTGATGGGTTTATCAGCACGATAACAACCCAAAATACACCTTAAAGCTGGTTAAGATATGAATTTAGAGCAATAGTATTCCAGTTTTAAATTGGCCGACCCAATTGCCTGATTTGACATCAATTGAGAACATTTTGGTTTTCTCAAACGTTGCGTTAGGGAACAAAAATTTCCCAATTGTTTGAAGCCCTAAAAGATGAATGGTATAAACTTCCAAATAGTTTTATTGACAATTTAATATCACCTATGGCGCACAGGTGTGTCCAAGTAATAAAAAGGAAAGGTCTTCACACAAAGTATTAAAAAATAAGACAAAAATTTAATGTAAAAAATAAAGTTACTATTGTTTTGCACAGCTGCATTTGGCAATATTTCGTTATTTTTGTAAATTATTTATCCCGTTATGAAGATCTGTAGGTTTTGTTGTTATTTTATGGTAGCTAATATAATAACAAATAAAACTATAAATACATAGTTTTTAAATATAAAGTAAAAAGTATGCAAAATATTTATTTATTTGATGTGCTCATTTTGGTTGCTTTTGTTATGCACAACACTGCATGTATATATATACACACATATGTGTATATATCTATTTATGTT